TTTAAGATGACAGGGGGAGTTTGATCAAAATCGTCATAGGTGGAGGGTGAACAAGGGTGAAGCCCGCCAACAAAAGGATGTCTGAAAACACACAGCGGCACAATTGACAATTGGAAGCCAATTCAATTCCATTTCTAGACTGGATGCAATCCTCAGACCGTCCGGTATGCCTCCGGTAATTGAGGGATCCTTTTCAAACCCCTCAAGAAGACCTGTGATTACAGGTTCTTCCTGTAACAATTGTGTGGCTGCTACACAGTGTGTCACAATAGAAAGATGAAATTTTTTACTCATTTGGGGTTTCTAATTTCGATCAAATTTAATATGACGATAATTAATATCCAATGTTATAATAATCTTTTAATCAAATGGGATATCTAAATCGCTGAATTGTTTTATGCTAAAATACAGTTTGAACAGGAACGTCCAACATTAATATTAATTGCGAAATTACTCCGAAGCTATGAACTGCTGTCCGCGGTTTGATTAAAACTTATCAACTCCGGGCCGCCCATTGTTGGTCAGGTCTGGAGCCAGACGAGTTTCGATTGACGAAATAGTCGGATGTGACCTCGGAACCTCTGAGAACGGTCCTGCTGGCTGAACAGGGTGATGAGTTTCGGGCTGCCGTTAATAATAACCGTGGAATATGATAATATATCACCGCTTACAAACTCCTTCAGGCTCGGCCCTACAGATTTTCGAGGTATTAAAAAAGTTTTCGAGCCGATTCTAAATATTTACGACGGCTTGACAAACTTATTTCGCCCCGAATTTTCGACTGGACAACTGAAACGTTGGGCGTCTGAAAGTATCTGCGTTTTATGTAAGTATGTACAGAATATAATTTTAATCAAGACGGTTTGTCTTCCAACTGTTGCCCTAAACCAGCTACCTCTACATATCTTCATCCAAAAAGAATAAACATCATTTGCGCATACTAATCTACCGCCATGACGCCAAACGGCTAGAACTTAGAGAGAAACTTCAAAATTAAGGAATACTGGTCCTATCCAAGGAACTTTACAAAGAAATGCCTCATCGTGGTGCCGCAATGAACAGTACATCAAAAAATGTCTACCCGGCAACACTGGCTCTATTTTGTACAAGTACGGCTCAACAAACTAGCCACCGGAACCTCCTTTTTATGGAAACAAATTGAGGGTTGATTGCCAACTTCTCTTATAAATTTACTGTAGTTTTTCGGGTTTTTTGGCGACCTTATGATTTAAGGAAATTAAAAAGATCACGGGTCTGCTTGCGTGGACTGGGAGAAATAGGAAAAGAAAACTGGCTTTTGTCTGGATCCACGCACAGAAAGGACTGAAGACCTGACAACTAGCTTTTACATGCTTAAAGCTGTACTTTCTGGGCTAATCGTGGGTTTGCAGTCCATAATCAGACTGGGATTTCATTGTCGCGGGTTAGAATATATGACGATGGTTTAATATAATAAACAATGGCTTGAGCTCGTTATGCTCTTTTCTTCATGCATCAAGGGGGCAGTGCGATGGCGTGTACTTAAAGTCCAGCAATTATTTTGGTATCCTCCGTTATTTCTGAGGCTCTCGAATAGGTCATATTTCGCGAATACCCATTTCTGTGTATCATAGATCTTCTGACTACCGGGGAATTTAAACTGGCACACGTTAACGTTTCGACAACGGCGACCTTGTATTTATGGAAGACCTAATACAAACAGGGATAAAAGAGGCGGCCACCATGCCTACTGCACCTCGACCTGAATAGATCTATTGTGTTCTCCTGTTATTTATAACTCATTGTTCCAAACACTCTTTGCCTTCGCCTGGCTGTCAGAGAAAATGTTTAGGGATGGTTTCACCCACCCTGGGAGTCGTGGCCCTCTATGTGTGGAACTACGGCGACAACGGGTGGTATAGTGTGGTTTGAGGCTCGAGACCCCGAAACGGCTCACCTCGGGTTCTTATCCACGGCTTTTTTCTCAATCCGGGTTCCTTCATTCTATCCTGTGACCATTTCCAACTCCTTGGTTGCAAGGGGGGTATCCGGGCACAAAATAATGGTGCAGCCCAGAGGGCGTGGCACCTCTCTGAAGCACAATCTGTACTCATGTCGGCCTAAGGGTCGGCATGGGCGGCCAGTGCACTAGATCCTGTTTGCACAGACGGGGGAGGGTGTATGCCCATCTGTACCACGGGGTAACTGAAAAGTTCCAAAATCATCCCTAGTTACACTGGGAACGGCTTTGTGGTGGTACGTGGTGACGCCCCTGGCGGGAACTTAAACAGAGGCTGTCTTCTATTTGTGACCTTCGTGAAGCTTGCGTATGGCCAGGGTTCTCACGGGAGACGTTGCGACCGGACGACAGCGTGTAAGCGTTGAGGACGCGATGATTACGCTGAATAGTCCCTCGAATGCGTGAGTAAGCGAATTGAAACGGGTAGTGAATCGGTTTGTCTACTCGAGTATGCTTTGCATTGTTGTGCGTATGATCGGCGTGGTACCCTCGGGGAAGCGATGGATCGGACCACCTAGGCTAGGCCTATGGCGTCCCTCGAATGTGCATAGCAGGCTGAGCTCGACAGGAGGTTTTACCGTAGGCGGTGCTCAACTAGGGGGTGGTTAGCAATTCCACTAAAAACAAAACCGCGGCCGGGGCGGATCCGGTAGTTTCTACGCTATGGGAAGCTCCAATACTCTGGGAGATAGAGTCGCCTTCTCTATCTAGGGAGTACGCGGGAGAACAGGCTGATGTATTTCGGCCTGTTAGCCCTTTGCGTGCGGCATACGACCCGATGCACAATGCGGGCCCGACCATTCGGAGTGGTCAAGCGGAGAGCGAGGTTGCCTTGGCCCTTAGGGGCTGCGGTACCTCTACACCAATGCTGCGGCGATATCACTCTTCCGTCGTATGCGGAAGTGCGTCAGCTCTCATCTTGAGAATCAAAACGTCTGATAAGGTCGAATAGACAGGTGCGGACGTTAAAGATCCTCTAGTCTTGTGACGAAGAGTATTCGGAAACGAAATGTCAGAGAAGATGGCTACCTTCCGGGAATGTATTCCTAGCCTTTTTATTTCTCTGGCGCATTGTTCAATCGCTATGATTTCAGACTGAAAAAAACGGTTTCCCTCCTTTTTGTCATTTGTAGCCGAGAATCAAATAGATTACACATTTGAAAAATGGCAAAAAGGAGGGAAAATTCAAAAGGTGGGGTTGAGCTGGGAAGTTAGTTTCAGAGTGGATCGAAGTCACGATAACTCAAGTGGTAGAGCAGCGGCGTTTCAAACCGAAGATCGTGTGTTCGAATCCCGCCCGTGACACTCATTTTTTTTATCTCAACTAAAAACCTTAATTGAAAGATATTAATTGATCAAGCGGACCACGAAAACTAGTGAATTTATTATTAACATATATATTTATTTTATTTATTGCTATCTGTACATAATATACATTGAGCAAATAGTTAGTTATAAACTAGTCCGACAGACCTGTCAGACCAGAAGGCAGTGAGGAGAGAAACCAACTTTTATTTAATTGGGGGGGGGGAGTAAAAGTTAATTCGGTGGGTTAGATAGAAGGTCACGAGGCCATCGTCGTTTTAAACGGCGTGGAGGGTTGTGTTAGGGCTAGTGAGTTAGGATGGAGGGAGAGTTTAGAGTGAAAAGTGAAGAAGCGTGTATGGATAAGATCTTTCACGAAAGGGATTTTAAGATCTTTGTGAATCGTTTGATTTGTGACGTAGAAGGGAGCATTGAGGATACGGCGGAGAACTTTAGATTGAAAAGACTGAATTCGTTGGATATTGGATGATTTGGCCGAGCCCCACAGCTCGACTCCGTAGGTCCAAATAGGTCTGATGAGTGTTTTGTAAGCGGTTAGTTTGTTATGTATGCTTAGTTTTGATTTTGGTCCAAGAAGGTGTCTGAGTAGTCCATATCTTTTGTTAAGTTCTTGCCGTTTTAATCGTGTATGTGGGTTCCAAGTAAGTCTACTATCTAAGTAAAGCCCAAGGTAGCGGACTTGGTTCGATGGTGGTATTATTTTGTTGTAAATGTGCACTGGTGGACAGGTTTGTCGTTTGAGCGTAAATGTAACGTGTTGGCTTTTTTGTTCGTTTAACCTGATCCGCCACAGATTGCACCAGTTGGTAATAAAAGAATTTATTAAAAATAATAAAACTTTTTGGCTAAAATTTCAATTAAAATCGTGCATGAACAAGATTTGCTTAGTAACGGATTTTAGGTTCATTACAGGCTTAATGCAGTGAAAGTGAAGAAACAGCGAATTCATAGGAATGATTTGAATTGGGATGAGTATGGCAATTGGTCTGTAAGTAGAACCGTATTTTCCAAAAAGCGCAAATATTCTGTAAATGCGGTTTCGAAATGATTGAAATTGTGTTAACGAGATAAATAATTCCCTCGGCTGGTTTTTTTCTCGTTTTATTTTTCAATGTTTTCACTGTTGGGGTGGAAATAAAAAGGTTAAAATCCATTAAGCCTGCAATCGAAATAGGCAATTAATAACCATCTGTTGGGAATTCACAACAGGTTTCAATCGACGTTTGACCCTTTTAATCGAAAGGGCAGTAATAGTAGGTATTTACTTAATCCAGTCGATCCCTCGGCTAGTTGGAAGAGGATTACGGGCCCTTACAAATTGGACTGTCGATATAGTCAAAATAATTGATTTTTAGTCTTCAGGTAACAGACCAATGGGCGTAAAATTGTAATATATTGGTAAGCAACAGTAAATAGGGTTCATTATAAGTTTAACTTGTGTTTTTCAAAGAAAAATTGATATTTTTGCCAAGAAGAGAAGTTATCACTGTACAACATTTTTCTTGATATTATGGAAAACTAGAAAGAACGAAATAATTGCCGACAAGAAAGTTTTGTAGTCATTAAGACAGCAATGATTTTTACTCTGGCTGAAGTATTAAATTAAGCAGCTTTCAGTTAAATTTCAAAGCAAATCCAATTAAAGCAGATCAGAAAAGTTTAGAAAAGTTCGGGGTTTGGTAAATAAAAGAAACTGTTTGTGTTTTATTTTTGAAGCTATTTGTTCTTTTGTGCTACAGCGATTATTGGAACAGAGTAATCGTCTATTTTCATCGATTCTCTACTTCTCCAGATTCGACTTTCTTGTACCTGTTACCGTTTTTGCTGCTGATTCTGTAGTAGATGGATTTGGGCCTCGTCGACTTCTCGCCCGAATAGATTGGCTCGACTTGCATTTTTACCTTTCCGGTCTTTTTAACTTCCGCGTATGTCAGATCTTCGATCTTTTTCCATTCGCCCCGGTTGACGGACGGGTTCTGGGGGATGATGTTCTTCTCGTCTTTGCCGTCACCGCCCAGTCGTCGAGCGATGACATGTCCCGCGTCGTCCGACTCGTACCCCATGTCTTTCGAGTAGGTGCGCACTCGTTTGTTGGTCTTCGTGCCTCTGTCCAGATGCTTGGGCTCGATTTCGGCCTCCGCGTACTCCACCCTGCCTTTGAAGCCCGTTTCCGTCCTCCTCACCGGGCTGTCGTCTCGCTTTCTGCCGGTCGAACGTCGTCCACTTATTCCACCGAGGAGGAAGAGCAATAAAAATATTTTCAATACGTATCGCATCGAGAAAAAAAGCTTTGACTCAGAGCAGAACTGAGAGACTACTGATTTATCGTTCTTGTTTGTGTGACCTTCCTGACCCATGATATTATATCAAATCGAAAATAAAACAATTTTTTCTATCTCAGGTTTTTCTAACGAATTTATATTTACGTCATTGTGAATTTCGAAATAATGCAATTTAATTATTTAAAGCGATAACACACATTACATTGACATGCTTACAGGTAATTTAAATCAAACATGTTTTCTTTATGACTGTTGTATTCAACGATGTTAGGTTGTGGGATGTCATACAGAAAACACAGCTTAGTGCTCAATTCTTTAATTTGCCAACGTTTCGAATGGTTTTTATTCTTTTTCAGGGCAACGCAGGAATATAGTGGACAAAACCGGCTCCACCTTTATTCCAGCGTTACCTTGAAAAAGAATGAAAACTTTCGAAACGCTGAAAAAGTAAAGATTTGTGCACTACGCTGTGTTTTCTGTATGACTGCACATCCCACAATCCAATATCGTAAAATCAAATAACATGGCCCGCTTCCAATTGTCTTCAACTGTAAATTCAACCTAGGCAAAATTTGCGTAATGATACAATAGTTGAATGAAAAAATAAAATAACAATTTGACAGAATGATTTTCTGTATAATCTGGGTGAGCCACAAGGTCTGCTTCTTTCAGCATCTCGAAAAGAAAAAAAGCCACCGTCCTTCCATTGTCGTGAGGGCCGATGATGCCCGAGATTCAATAAGTACGCGATACAAACTGCAACACAAAAAGTATGTAATTTAATAATTTTTTAATTTATTGCGGGGTGAGGTGACAAAGAAGAGAGTAGTGAAGCTTCTGCCAGGCTGTCGACCTTTATTACAGTCTCCTTCAGGGTTTTACACAGAATTACAACAATTCACAATTAAGCAACAATGCAAAAATTAATTATGAGAAGTCAACTTACACGTTACATCCTTTCTAAAAAGATAGTTCCTACTCACAGTAAGTTGTTTTGCAACGATCCGGATTTCGAGCCTTTTAGCTCATCATCAGGTTGAAGGACTCCTACAACCACGTCTCTCGACATGAATTGCCAAAGTGAACCCGCTGATACCTCCGCCAACGCAACGTTCCAATTAGCAGCTGATTCTTTTAATGGCGCTCAATTTGAATGTGGGAAACGCGGAAATTATAACACATATAAATATTATACTAGTAAATATTATTAAATTACTATAAAAATAATTAGTTTAATTATTTGGATGTTTGATATTATTTATGTACATATTTAAATGGGAGGTAAATCAAAATCTGTTATATTACTAATGCATTTATCACCATGTTCAAATGGAACGTTCGCACGTTCAAATTGAGCGCCATTAAAAAAATCAGCTGCCAATTGGAACGTTGCGTTGGCGGAGGTATCAACGGGTTCACTTTGGCAATTCATGTCGAGAGACGTGGTTGTAGAAGTCCTTCAACCTGATGATGAGCTAAAAGGCTCGAAATCCGGATCGTTGCAAAACAACTTACTGTGAGTAGGAACTATCTTTTTAAAAAGGATTGAACACCACACTCACTCCATCATTTATCATTTCTACACGTTACATTGTCATAAATAAATTAAGATTACAATAAAACGTTTTTAAATCTCTAACAAAACTTTTTTTGACTTCATTTATTTGTATCTACAACTGTACATGTATTATATACAACCAGCAGATTGGGTAATTTGTGTTTGTGGCATTACGGCCGTTATAAAGAAAGCTACCCATTGGCAGCAGCTCTGGATTAACGAAATGATATTAATCCATATTCTTTTCAGACGTTTACGAGTTTTAATTGTAGGGAATGGAGTAATCGTATTTGTGTGTTGGTGTGATTTTGTAATTTACTATGAAAACGTCTATCATATGTTTTGATGGATGAAAAAACTGTTGGGATTTGAAGATCTCGTGAAGTGTATTATTGTTTACTTAAAAAGGGGCAGAAACAATTGGTCTTAAAATTTTGGATTGAAAACTTTGTAATCTTTGAATATTGGAATATTTGGCCGATCCATATACTTGGCACACGTGCATCCAAATAGGTTTGAGTAGGTGTATGTCGAAAGTTTTGATTTTAATGGTAATTTTGATTGGTGGTTCAATAGGCAATAAAGCATTTTAAATCGTTATGTCGAAAGTTTTGATTTTAATGGTAATTTTGATTGTCGGTTGAGTAGGTAATAATGAATTTTAAATGGTTAGTTCAGTGTCTGTTTTTTTAATCGTGTGTGTGAATTCCAAGTCTTCTATCAAATGTAAGTCCTAAATTAACTTTGTCGGATTGAGGAACAGATTCATTGTATAAGTATATGCTAGGACAAGTCTCACGACGGACTTTGAGGGATTAAACTTCATTTTCCAAAGATTGCTCCATTTTTCAATTGTTGATATGTGGTTTTGTAACATGAATGAAGCTTGTGTAGAAGACAGATGCCTTGTTAATATGGCGGTAAGTGTATTCTCATTTGTGGGCATATCAGAAGTAAAAATTGAGTACAACAGCGGAGCGAGTATTGACCCTTGTGCACCTGTATTGACCTGCAAGCACTTCTTCCATCCCAGAAGTCTCCGAACCCTGTTTACTGCGAAAAATCTCTCTTTAAGGTATGATTGTATAATCAGATAATAGTCCTGGGATAAAAATAATTTCAATTTTACAACAATATTTTCAAAAACGAGGAGCTTATCTCAAAGGATAAGCTAATCCCCAACCGCAGGATCGGGCGGTGCGAGCTGAGCCACCAAAGGACGAGGAAGGACTCTCTCAATTTGTTTGAAGGCACCTGCTCTTTTTATGTAAATGGCAAGGAGTTAGTTGCGTATGTCATAGATCACATATTTTTATTTTTTTCAAATCTGAATACATTTATTTTTTTTGAAGGTTTTGTTATAATTTATTTGGATCAGGTTCCGATTTTTGTATCTTTCCGATTAATTTGTTTGAGTTTGTGGCACGAATATTTTTTTCATTCTTATTTTACACTCATAAGGAAACGAGTTTGCTACGTGTGAAGGGGATTCACGCAAATATCGTAATAATTTGTATAATAATCCTTCATGCCATAGTTTGTCGAAGGCCTGAGAAACATCTAGAAACACTCCAGTCGCGTGCAGTTTCTGCTCGAGAAACGAAGTAATTAAATCTGTCACTGTGAAGTTGATGAGTGGTGGAATCATGGGTTCGAAAGCCAAATTGATAGTCTGGTAAGATGTTCGAAATAGCAATAGAAATAATTCTTTTGTAAATTAATTTTTCGAATAATTTAGAAGGAACGGGTAACAAACTAATAGGACGATAAGATGGGGAGCTTAAATTTTTATGGGGCTTTGGGATCATTTTAATGTAAGAAAGTTTCCATTGTATGGAGAATTGTGTAGTCCTCAAAATTGCGTTAAATAAAGAAGTTAGAAAGACGACTGCTTTTTTGGGAAGTTCTTGAAGAACTTCAGCTGTTATCAAATCATGACGAGGTGATATTTTATGTTTTGTTTCTTTTACATGGTCCTTAAATTCCGAAAATTTGTTCGATTTAGGCAAGTGTTCTTTTACTCTCGTTTTTATTTCTCTATCGCTTTGACCTATATATTTAATATCACAATCATTACAAATGAGTTGGTAAACCCCGCTTTTTGCCAAGTTGTCTACCTTGTCTTTAGGTTTTGAGAGGATGTTTTTAAGTGAACCCGTTCTTCTAAAAGTATTCTAAAACCTTCTTGTTTAAAAATTTTATTAACAATTAATTAAGGTTTTTAGTTGAGATAAAAAAGTCAATGGCACGAGCGGGATTCGAACCCACGATCTTTGGCTTGATACGCCGCTGCTCTACCACTTGAGCTATCGTGACCTCGATCCACTCGGACATCAACCTCCCATCTCAGCCACACCTTTTGAATTTTCCCTCCTTTTTGCCATTTTTCAAATGTCGTGTACTCGGATTGGATTCTCGACGGCAAATGAAATGGCCACGGAGAGCTTTAGTGAAGTTTACTTCATTTTAAATCATTAAATTCACTAATTTCGTGGTCCGCTTGACCAATTAATATATTACAATTAATTAAGAGTTTTAGTTGAGATAAAAAAGTCAAACGGCACGAGCAGGATTCGAACCCACGATCTTCGGCTAGATACGCCGCTGCTCTACCACTTGAGCTAACGTGAGCTCGATCCACTCGGACACCAACTTCCCATCTCAACCCCACCTTTTGAATTTTCCCTCCTTTTTGCCATTTTTCAAATCCCGCTCAACTAAAAACCTTAATTGTAATATATTAATTGGTCAAGCGGACCACGAAATTAGTGAATTTAATTTTACTAACTTTTTCCGATAATTCACCAATGTATGGCAAACAACGGAAACCTAATGATTCATTTGTGGTGGGGTGGTTGAGTCCTATTGTTGATTCTTTTAATTTAATTTTTTTAATTCTTTTAACTAGCAACCTATCAATAAATATTTATAGATACCCATTGTTTTTTTAGGTCTTAATAGTTTCTAATTCTTTTTTATAGTTAGCAGGTGTTAATGGAAGGTTTAACATACGGTCTATGAGCCAAATGAAACCAACAGCCTTTTGGGACCATGGGAGGAAGAATCCGTTGGTATCATAGTGCCTGTAGTTGTGGGTTTTCTATATAAGTCAATTTCTATTAGATTCTATTGTTTATTATGGACAAGTTTAGGTCTATAAACTTCACTTCCACTTTTTTTAGGTATTTTGATTACTTTTGAGGGATAACATTTTTAGAGGACACGGTTAAGGCGAAAACGTCTCCCAATACTTTATTATTAGTCGAAATAAAGATTTTTATGTCAAAGGAATAAAAGCGCTTATTTCACCTTGGCAAAGATGTATACATTGTGATGGAAAATATTTCGAATAAATTTTCTTTATTTTATAAAAATTAACAATAGTTTGGACTGCTCCTTCAAAACCTCCATTATTTTTGCACCAGACCAATATAAAGGCCCAATACAAGATCCCTGCGGCATTCCTGAGGTAGACTCAAAACTTACCTGAAGCTTGTTAAAGTAAAGCAATTCATAATAATTGGACATCTTC